GTGGGAGAATTGATAAGTTAATATTTCTGAAAAATTTATTTTTAACTTTGACGGGAAACTTGTTCAGAACTACACATATATATGTTTTGACAAATGCTCTAATTCTCCTTTATTTTGAAAGATGTGAAATTCATCTGGGAAGAGTTGCAATGGCCATTGTGTTGGAAAGACACCCCCATTACTGTCCTGCCCTAGTTGTTACCATCTTTGACCCTCATGGATTCATGGTTTTGCAAGTATTCACCATTCATTCATTTATTCCTTCAAAATTTACTGGGCCCCAGTTATGCACCAGGCACTGTCTCAGGTGTTGGGGATGATTTGGAGAATGTCTTAGTAGTTCCTGCCCACAAGCTTATAGTACCATGGTGGTGCAGGAGTGAGGTTTGAAATTAGTGCTGTAAGTGCTACGATGGGGTGATTAGGGATGCCATAGGAATACTTGAAAGGGGCACCTAACACCAACCAGAGTGTCAGGGATGGTTTCCTGGGTGAAATGACATCTGATCTGAGACTCAAAGATAGATGGTAAGTGGAGGTACGTCCTGGAAGCAAATGGTCCCCACAGAGAGAAGGAGTGAGTGAGACCAAGTTCAAGGAAATACAAGAAGTTTAGTAGAACTGGTATATGGAGTTCTGGGGAAGAGGCAGAGCTCACTTCAAAGGGTTTTGTGCGCCATAAAATTTTATAATAGTGCAGCATTATTTTGTGGTATCAAATCTAACCAGGCTTCCCTTTAAGCTCTTTCTTCCTTTAACTATACATCCACACTTCCATCTTTAGCCAAAAAGCTGGAAACAACCCCAAAATGTCCATCAGTTGATGAATGGATAAACAAATTGTTTATTATCTATACAATGGAATGTTATTTGGCTATAAAAAGGAATGTAGTGCTAATACATGTTACAACATGGATGAATCTTAAAAACATCATACTGAGCAAAAGAAGCCAGACACAAAAGGCCACATATTGTATGGTTCCATTTATATGAAATATCCAGAACAGGCAAATCCATATAGACAGAAAGTATGGTAGTCATTTCTAGAGGCTGGAGGGAGGGGAGAGTGGGGAGTGACTGCTTAAAAGGTACAGGGATTCTTTTGGGGGTGATAAAAATGTTCTGGATTTAATAATAGTGATGGTTGCACAATCTCATGAATATTCTTAAAACCACTGGATTGTATGTAAATTATATGTCTACAAAAATCCAACAAGTTACAGGTGCACATGAAACAAGTTTGGCAATATATTGATAATTACTGAAGTTAGGTGATGGGTAGTAGGGGTTTATTGTATCAGTCCCTCTTAAAAAAAGCAAAACAAGCAAACCAAAAAACACTTTCATGTGACAAAGACAACAGAAGCCAAGAGATGACAACTCACCCAGCTTGTGGTCACCAAACCCTAATGTTTGCTTACAGTCTCTTCTTATTCATTCATTTCTGTGTTTAACACATGCTTTGAGCCAAACATTTTGCTAGGAGATGGGGATATTGCAATGAACACAAGAGGCATAGCTCCTACCCTCAGAACTTTGCCATTGGAAGGAAAGCCAGACAACAGAGTGACAGGTGAGGGAAGGGCATGGTGTGAATGTCTTGAGGCATGAGAGAGCATGGTGTGTCTGAAGGATAGAAAGAAGTCAAGTATGACTGAAGGCTAGAGGGCGAGCAGGCAAGGACAGGAGATGAGGTGGCATAGTTAGGCAGGGGTGAAGTTATACAGGGCCTCTGAGGCCATTACAGTGTTTCAGTAGTGAAAAGCTCTCCAGATGCTGTCTCTTCTTCAAGGCCAGTTCTTTTTCATCTGTGTAGGCAGGAAATCAAAGTATCAAGAAGAATCGAGAAGTCACTGTTCTTTCTCTCAACAGTGGCTCAGGCATGAGCAAAGATGTCTTCTCTGCTAAGGATGATAATCAGCGTGCCTGGCTGCCTTCTGTTATTTATTGCTCAAAACAATAGGATGTCATGGTAGGTATGGGACAGAGGGAGAATCACATGGATGGTGAACCCAGACAAGAGAGGTATCTGCCATCAAAGAATGCTATTGAATGTGGCTCTCTTCCTACTGGGTGGGATGGAGAATGTGACACTGCACCTTTGGCAGTGATTCCTGTAGCCCCTGAGAAACACCATGTTCTTCGTCAGTGAAGCTCCCTTGAGCTTCAAGGCCATCTGTCACAGGTCCTATTTGACACCTCCATAGCCCAGCTGTGCATGTTGCTACTCTGACTGTGCCGTCCCTGTATAGCCTCTGGTCACACACAGGTGGGTGTACAGACTTGGGTAATGGTGTCCCCTGTCACCCACTCAATGCCCCTTTATGAGGGTTACATCTGGTTCCTGTTAGCTTATTTCTGAACCCAGCTAGCTGAGACTTGGACGATTATTTCTTGCGGTTGTGAGAAAAAGATGTTATAACTGCACCATCACAGAAGAGAAGGAAATTGTACATGACATCAGGAGAAGTAGTGCCACCCTATCCTGGATGTCCAACAGGAGGTACCGCTGCTCATCGCCCTCTCTGGAGAACAGAACTAAGCTCCCTGAGGCCAGCTCATTTCCCTCTGGAGGAAAAGGGTCTTAGACCCAGAAGCTCTTGCTAGCCACCCTTCCCAGGCATGGAATCATGGCATTCACAAGAATGCCTCTAATGCAACCATAAGATGTGATGCTTATATTGGGAAGGGCCTAGATGCCAATACGATGTGTACGGCGTGGCTGGCAGTATTACCAAGTAGCCCAGTGTGACTGACTTTAGAACGCACATGTCACAGCCCCTGAGCCAACTACAATGAAAATTAAGATTACCAGTCCTCTGGGTGCAATTACAGCATCTGGCTACTCCTTTGACCTTCCAGCAGATGTGGATTAGCAGGTAGAACTCCAGTGAGTTTGGCCTGTCTGTTGGCCATTGAAAATACCTTTAAATGGGCCGTTGGCAGATACACAGCACTTTTCTGTACGAGTTAGTTCACCCGTACAGGTTGGCCCTGGTAGAGGACACATCTTATCTACCTGGAACATGCTATCTTAAAAAGACACCTGTCCTCGTCTGACAGGAAGGCAAATAGCACTATTTAACATCGTACTCAAGGTAGCTATTTTTTGATAATACGTTTTCTGAAATTCTCTACATATGTTTGGTTTAAAGTTTATACATTTGGTTGGGCATTCTGTGTGACAAAGGGAGGCTAAGGGTGACGTGTTTATGGAAGGGACTTGGCCTGATGTGATGGTGTTTGGCTGACTGACAATTTCATGTGAGCTGTTTGCTCCTCTGGGGCCTGATTGGAGCTGCACAGAGTACTAATGGCAATTCCTGGATTTCTCAAGAGGCTGGCAAGACTTTATGAATGAACTGTCACTTCTTTCTTGCAGTCTTCCAGCAGAGCTAGGAAATACAGCTAATCCAAGCCTTTGAACTCCATTTTCCTTCTCATCCAATGTGTTTTCAGCAGAAGAGCACAGGGCTTAAACAACTCATTATAGTTGCAAAACAATTTCTGTATTTGTACCTGTATATTTATGCATTGTCTTAATTTATGTAAGATTTTGGTGTGTATTTCTCAGCTTTTAAGGATGACTTACACATCTTATTTTTCTACTGTTATGTGAGACTATCACAGCCCAAGGATACGTCATGGCATAAGGAAAAATAAGAGTGCTACCCAAAAAGAAAAAAAAGAACCCAAAACAGGAAAAAACAAACTATTGAAGGATTTTAAGTAGGAAGATTGACATGATCAGATTTGCATTTTAAAACACTGTGCCCACAAGGTGGAGAGGGGACAGGAGACAGTGTAAGAAACGGAGTGAAGAGGGTTTGAGTGTGGGCAGGGCTAGATCACCAGGGCCTGCCAAGGAGAACATGAGGAGGATACCAGACAGAGCATGGCATCATGGGAAATGGGCAAACCAACCGACCGACCGACCGACCGACCAATCAACCAAAGGAACACACACAAAACAGATTCAGAGAAGGATGTTGTAGAGAGGTAAAATAAAAGTAGTTCTGGTGGGAAGAGGAAAGGTAGAATTGAGCTCGTCCTGATTGGAGGAGGGCAAGATGTGGCCAACTCCAAGTGCACTGAACTTCTTTGCCTATGATTTGCCCTCTTGCTTCCAGGCCATCTCCTTCCTCTGCCCGACACACTTTTACCCTGGCCCTTTGTATGGCTAACACTTACTCACCCTTAAGGGCCAGCTCCCATGTCACTTCTTTTGGAGGCCTTTCTTGACCCTATCAGTCTGGGTTAGGGAAAGTTCCTCTGGACTTTCAGAGCCTTCTGTATTTCTACTATTATAAACAGCCCGTATCAACTGTAAGGTAATTGCTTTTTTTATTTTTCTGTATCCTACAATAGACTGTCAGCTCCTTGAGGGCAGAGCTGAAGCTTAATACATTGTTTAGCACCCGTACCTAGCACAATGCCTGACACACGACAGGGACACAAACACTTGTTTGAGAGAGTTAATGAATCTTGTCCTGAGTCTACATTGACCCAGATCTTTCAGATTAAGGGAGAATTAAAATGTTATAATAACAATCAAGCTAGTTCCTTGTCTTTGAAAATTATTAGGAAAATGGGTCTACTTAAATGTATAAAGCCAAAGTTTTGCATGGTTATTTTAGACTAATTTTCTTTTGCCATTTCCTTTATATCTCAATCAAAAGGTCATTCTGGCTGCAGATTTCTTTTCTATCTTGTGGCATAAACTCAAATCTGGTACTGGGGCGCCTGGGTGGTGCAGTCGGTTAGGCATCTGACTCTTGGTTTCTGCTCAGGGCGTGATCTCAGGGGTTGTGGGATTGAGCCCCATATCACTTAAGACTCTCTCTCCCTCTCCATTTGCCCTCCCACCCCCTCTCCATGTGCACTCATTCATGCTCTCTCTCGCTAAAAATAAATAAATAAAAAAATAACACCTCACATCTTGTACAAATACGTCCTCATCTGAATTGTTTATTTTCAATCAATGTTTATTTTGTGCCTCAGGGGAGACCAGCACTGCTGGGTGCTGTGGGAGACACAAATGTCTGCAGGCTGTGGAAACCCTCTGCTGAAGGTGAGACTGAGCAGGCTAACGGTCACTGGGAGGTGTTCATATAATCCCCTCCTGCAGCCACCAGAGAACATGTTCTGAACTTTCAAAATGCTTCCATACTCTCAAAGACACAGAGAAGGCTCACTTCAGGGAAATGAAGAGGCTATAATTTGGCTAATAAATGGACCTTTCCTCTACTTGAAATGTTTTTATTTCATGACCTGGATCACCTCCCATACATGGGATGCTACTCTGGCAAGGAGTACAGTCTGTGTGGTTCTTTCTAGAAGTCTATCAGCTTTAGTTGGCAATTTAAGTGAACCAGGCAGGTGGGAGAAGAGACAAGCTGAAATTCAATATTAGAGAAATGGGTGGTAGGAACATTGTAAACTACTTTATATGGTTACCATTGAGCTAAGTGTAAGGTAGGTGTGTGTGTATGTATATATATAATTTAAATTTTCCCTACTTTATCTGCTTGCTTTTAAAACACACACTGTCACAATTTCTCTTATTAAGCAATCTATCATAAGAATATTTTCTGACATTTTGATTGATGTGATGTTGAAAGGAAATGTGTTTGTATTAACCCTTAGAAAACTGTAGATAGGAAAGCTCTCTTTATTTTCTTTAAGACCAATTCAACTGCTGACCTTTCTCTTGCTCTAGATAGTGAAGGGAGGGGGTCTGGAGGGCAGGCTTTGAAAAAAAAAAAATCAACCAAATAACCACATAACAACAACTGCTTTGACCTGTACCTCTGAAACAAATAATACATTATATGTTAAAAATAATAAGATAGTAGGAAGGGAAAAATGAAGGGGGGGAAATCGGAGGGGGAGCCGAACCATGAGAGACTATGGACTCTGAAAAACAAACAGGATTCTAGAGGGGAGGGGGTGGGGGGATGGGTTAGCCTGGTGATGGGTATTAAAGAGGGCACGTTCTGCGTGGAGCACTGAGTGTTATGCACAAACAATGAATCATGGAACACTACATCCAAAACTAGTGATGTAATGTATGGGGATTAACATAATAAAATAAAAAAAAAAACACCACAACAACTGCTTTTTAACTCCTTAGATGGAAATGAACAGGGCAATACAGTAGTGTACTATAGAGAGCCTGAACCAAGTCTTGGGAGTCAGAGAAGGCCTCCCTGAGAAAGAGATAGTTGAGCTGAGAACTGAAGAATGAATAGACTTTGGAATTAATAATTGTGGGGGCATGACTGAGGGGAGGTTGGGTGGAGGTATGAGGAAGGTGAAAGCTTTGAACCTAGAAGAAACAGATTGCTTTTAACCATTAGAGAGAAGGTCACTGTGGCTGGAGCTAGCAAGCAGAGAGGGCAAAGGGGGACAAGAAGCTAGAGAGGTCAGTGGGGTCAAATAATGCAGGTCCTCAAGGCCATGCAAAGAAACTTGAGACTTTATTCCTAGAAGCAATGGGAAGTCATCCATACTCTCTGAGCAAGGGAGTGACACGGTCAGTGTGCTTTTAAAGGATCACCCAAGGATCCTGCAGATAGACAGGGGTGGTTGGGCGGGGGGAATGGCAGTTCTGTGTGTGGTTCAGGAGAGGGATAACAGAAGCTGGGGCATGGTGTTGGCAGTGGAGAGGGAGCAAAGGACAAAGATTCTTCAAGTACTTTGGAAGTATAGAAGCCAGCAATTGGTGAAAGACTGTCTGTAAAGTGCCCCAGAAAGATGGGCTGTGGGTGTGTCATAGATTTCTGGCATGAACACCTGGATGGATGGCAATGCCCAGGGAATACAGGCTTGGGGTGCAGTTGGGAAAGCAGGTACTGCCTGAGCTTGGTGTGCAATTGCAAGCATGAGAAGCTTATGAGTAAGTATCAGCAGAGAGCACTGAGCTGAGGATCTGGGATGGAAGAAATTGCAAACATAGAGTTAATGGGTTTATTTAGGGATAGTAGGTAGTGAGAGAAAAGGACTTCGGTTAAGAAGGCAGATCCCAAGTTGAGTATTCTCACCACAATAAAATTTAAAAAGTGAATAAATAAAAAAAGAAGAAGAGTGAGGGCTGGGCTCCAAAGTACTCCAGCATGGGGGTTTGGGTAGAGTGGGGAGAACCTGCAGATGATGCTATGAGGGATCATTTTGAGAACGGGGAGGGAAATTGGGAGATTGTGACATCATCCATGTCTGAGAAGACAGTGATTCAGGAAGGGGCATAATTTAGTATCAAAACTGCTGAAATATCAATGGAGGAGAGGTCTACAAAGCATTCGATGACTTCAGCAAAGAAGAAGTCACTGGTAACATCAACAAAGTTTTGCTAAAGTAATGCAGCTTAACTCCCGTTGGAATGGGTTCATGATAACAGTACACACTCCGGGCTCAGGCTTTACATCCACTAAAGATTAATGCTATGTTAATCATCACAACAACCCTATGAGGCAGGTGCTCTTATTATGTCATTCTACAGATGAGGAAGTGAAGGCACAGAGAGGTGGCACGACTTGCCCAAAGGCATATTGTAGAAGCAGAACCCAAGCTCACTGGCTCATGAGTCATTTTTTAGTCCTGTATCTTAAGTGTGCAAACAGGACTAGAGGCAGAGTAGACAACCCTTCAGAGAAGCTCGGCTGTGAGTAGGGAGACAGTGTGGTAGCTAGATGTAAAAGGGGGTGGTCCCAGAAGGGTAATTTATGTTTAAGGTGGGATTAAGATGGAGCGTGTTCTAGTATTTATTGGAAGGGCCTGTCAGTGGGACTGAAGTTCCAGGAGAATGGAATGATGATGGATGAAGAGCTGGAGTGGGGAGCAGCCAGAGTGCAGAGGGATGGTCCCCTGTTGGAAGGTGTAGAAATTCCTCCCCTATTGTCATAAGAAGGGAGTGGGCACAGTAAGGATGTGTGCAGGAAGAAATGGAAAGAGTTCTTGTTTGAAGTCTTTTAGAGTCTCTGTGAAATACAAGATCAGGCCATCTGCTGAGAGAGGACTAGGGAGTATGAGCTGGATGTGGAGGCGGGACTGGCAGAGCCGGTAGAGGAAATGCAAAGTAAAATTGCCAAGTAACATCGAGGACACAAGCAGCATCAAACTGGTGATTCCAGAAGACTACAGGGAAAAAAAGTGGTCATGTTGGTATGGATGTTGTGCTGGGAAGTGTGGGTGACCCCACATAGAAGATGATTTTGGGGCGGGGGGCATGGTTAACAGCATATGGGGAATTCTAGTTCTTTATGTGCTCCCAGCAAGTCTGAGAACCAGCTGTTGGGGGTAGGAAAAGACGAAACTCAGAATAATAAATACTGGGAACTGAGATGGATTATACACACAAGCCTTTTCTGTCCAGATGCAGATCTAAGAAACTGATTTAATCAACACCCAAGTGGGCACTCTGAGGGGCTGAGTGCAAGCCATACTCTCAGTTGGCAAGCCCTCCATTGTCCAGAAGATGAGAAAACAACAACTCATCTCAACAACGTGTTTGTAAAAATAAGCAGATCGGAATAATGGGAAAGCAATGACATTCTTGGTTCTCAGGGGAAAAGCAGAGCTTGGGAAATAACTTAATGTTCGAACCCTAAGAAATTTTCAGAAAACTCCTTAGCATTCTTAATAGGTTGTGAGGGGACACAAAGCTCATGAAGCAGGACCAGAATCCATAAGAAGAGCAGAGGATAAAATGAAAATAAGGGTTGTGGGGACAAGAGAGAGAAAGAAAGGGGACTTTCCCATATACTCCTCAGACAGTCAGGATTTTTGTGGTGGGAGGAGGGAAAGACATGATCATTTCCCGAGGGCCCCATGTGCTTGTCAGTCCCCACAGCAATTTTGTGGTGCAAGCGTTACTCCTTTTTTTATTTATTTTATTTTTTTATTATTATGTTAATCACCATACAGCATTAGTTTTTGATGTAGTGTTCCATGACGCATTGTTTGCGTATAACACCCAGTGCCTGGTGATGGGTGTTAAAGAGGGCACGTTCTGCGTGGAGCACTGGGTGTTACTCCCTTTTCAAAGGTGGTAAAAATTAGGCTCAGAGAGGATAAGCGATCTGCTCAAAGCAAGGGAAGAGGGAACTGAACAAAAGATGGTGTGACTTCAAGGATCTGGACCTCCACCTAACAGGCACAAGAGGTTAATGAGGGAAGAAACATGGAGAAAGGGGCTGGGGTTAGGTTACTTTATGTCTGAGTATTCTTAGCATATAAATAGAACAACAATGGCTACAGGACTATGTGCCAATTATGTGGCAGGTGTTTTACACACATTTTTCTTTCTTTCTTCCCCCCTTTTTTTTAAGAGAGAGAGAGCGTGGGGGTGGGGGGAGGGGCAGAGGGAGAGAGAGAATCTTAAGAATCCTAAGCAGGCACCACGTTCAGCATGGAACCTGATAACAGGGCTGGATCTCACCACCCTGAGATCGTGACCTGAACAGAAATCAAGAGTTGGACGCTTAACCGACTGAGCCACCCAGAAGCCCCTACACCCATTTTTCTGATTCTCACAGTAATCCTGCCTAAGTATCATGACCCTCTTTTTTTTCAGATGTGGAAATTGAGGCCGACAGAGACTAGGTGATTTGCCCAAGTGTGTAAGTATTCTACTGCTGCTGTAATGCATTGCTACAAACTTTGTGGCTGAAAACAACACACATTTATCTTAAAATTCTGTAGGTTAGAAGTCCAACACAGGTCTTAGGGGGCTATAGTCAAGATGTTGGCAGGGCTGTATTCTTTCTGGATCTGTCTCCTTGACTTCTCTAGCTGCTAGAAGCAGCCCACATTCTTTGGCTCATCATCCCCTTCCTCTATCTTTAAAGCTGGTGGCAATGGTTTGGGTCCTTTTCCTGTAATATCCAGCCGACCCTTTTCCCACAGTCCCACTCCCCTCTAACCACATTGGGGAAACCAGATGATCAGCTTGGGCCCACTGGGATAATGCAGGCTAACCTCCCCACCCCAAGGTCTTTAATGTAATCACATCTTCAAAGTTCTTTCTGTCATGTGAGGTGACATATTCACAAATCCTGGAGATTAGGATGTGGACATTGCTGGGACCATTATTCTGCCCACCATATCAAATTATAAAGGTACTGAAGGGCTGAGCCCAGAGTTTAACTTAGATTTGGTCAAAATTAAGTAGGAAATTCTACTGGCTCTATCTTCAAAATATATCCAGAATCCTTCTAGTTCTCACACTGCCATTTCCACCACCTTGGTCCAAGCCATGCCGGTGCCTACCAGAAGGGATTACTTCTATAGCCTTGTAATTGTTCTCCTGCTCCATCCTTGCCTGCAGTCCATTCTCAACATAGTAGCCAAAGTGATCCTTTAAAAATGTCTCAGATTACATCAATTTTCTGTTCAAAACCTTCCAGTAACTTTTGATTTCAGTATGAACTAAGGACATAGTCTTTACATACCCTACGAGGCCTACATAATCCTTCCTCCACTCCAGGGTTCTCCGGTCACTCTCCCCTCGCTCAGCTCTAACACCTGGGCCTTCTGCCTGCCTTGAACACACCAGCATTATTGCCAGAGTCTTGAGTGGGAGGGGGCTCTGTATTTTTGTTCTGCCTCCTCCTCCAGTACCTTGAAGTAGAATGGGAGGGCATAGCCTGGTTCTGGGATGTCTCTATCCTGGCCGGGGACCTGGGAGGGGAAATGGGAGGAAGATGAATATCTCTGGACTTCACTGTTCATGGCTGTGCAAGTGGTTTCTCCTTTTCCTCTGCTAATACCTACTCTCCACTGATAAATGCTATGAGGCTGATGTTCAGATGGCTACTTTTGCATGTGGTACATATGTGTGAGGTTTGTAGGGATCTCTGAGGGGCTTCTCTACTTCAGAGTTTCCATATGTGGGAGATGGACTGGCTCCTGCTCATGGCAGTATGCTACAGTTTCTTGCTGTTTGGAAACCCTTGCCCAGGGGCTGGCCTTCTTGGGTGGGCCACCATTGAGACAGCCTCGAGCCCAGCGCTCTCCCTCAATGTCAAACCAGATCCACAAGAAGCTCACCCATCTTTGCCATGTACAAATGATGTGGTCATAGGCTGCCTTACAGCTGCCCCTCCCTCCACCCTGTCATACCCGTCCAATGCTCTTTTTCTTGCTCAGGCAGGAGGCAAATAAAAGTTAACAAGTCTCTTCCCAAGTTAGATTCCTGTCTTATACCTGGTATTTACCAAGGATTCCCTTGGAGCCTCTTATACTTGGCTTTGGTGAATGTGGGGAGGCACTTCCTTCCCCAGTGGCCCCCCCTAGAACCCAACTCAAGACTGCTAAGACCCTCTCCTTCTTCCTAGCCAGTCTGAGGAAAGAAGCTTAGGAAGATGGGCATGGCAAAGAGTGTGGATGGCTCTGGTGATGTGCAAGGGAACAGAGTGTTTGGGCTGTCTTTTATAAGCCCCCCCAAAAGCACCTCTCTTCAGAATGTGAGGCATATGCTGCATTACTCTTTCAACTTGGTCCCTGTTCTCCACTGCCAGGAAATCAGGAAAACTTTCATGCACTGTTATAGATGTAAAAGTTATCAGCATAGGCAGTTATGATAGAGTGAAAGGTTCAAGTTGAACAGAGGAAAATGTCATCTGCTGGTCAGAGAACAACTACATGTTGGCCAGTTTTGCTTAACTGGTGGGAAGAAGCATATAATTAAATAGGGGGACTTTACATGTGGCCTAAAATTTCCCTTTTTTTAGTGAAGAGGGTGTAAATTTTATGCTAATAATTTTACTTGTTCATGGCTAAAAATTCTTTCCAAGACTTAAATTTGAGTACAATCTTATTTTTAAGATTTTTTTCTTGTGTTTTAAGAAACAATATTTGTTTCCAGCACAAACTTGAGGAAATAAAGAAAAGTTTCAATAAGAAAGCAAAAAAATAATCTGCAATCGCCTAGCTAAGGTATAGTCAAGTTTGGTGGAACTAGAACTCTGATTTAGAGAAGTTTAAGACTATACCATGAAAGAAAGATCACACTTTATCTTGATTTTTACTTTGTTTTATTTTCTGTTTTGCTAAGTTGCACAATGGACACATTTGGGGTAATGAGATTTGGAATATGAAATTTATCAAAAACCAATAGGGCCCAGAGACAACAGAAATCTCTCTTCTGCTTTAAATAAGCTCACTGTAGTGACAAGACATGTTTATCCATAAGAAGAAACTCCTACGACTCATTTTCTCCCCTTCCCTAATGCCTCCTTACTCCTGTCCGTGTTGTATTTAGTGTTAGCATGTATTATGCATGGGCTCTGAGATCTCATGTGGGCTGTACTGAATAAGAACCACTGTGGGAGGGGGGAATGGACAGGGGCTGGAAGAAACCTTCTCAGGATAGAGAAGACTCACTGCTGAACCTTTGGGGATATACATTTCCTAGAGCTGGGGTGGTTTTCCTCTATCTATGTCCTTCAGATTGAGAAGCAAAGCAGTGAGCAGTACCAGTACTATATAGGGAGACAAAGACGTGAGATGCTGGGGGCCCACAGCCAAGGAACAGATTGGCTACCAGGAGGAGTCCTGCATAGGTAGAGTAAGGATATCTTCTTTTACAGAATTTGTCAACTAGAGGGTGACAGCAATCAACATTCCATGGATCTTTTTTAATTTAAATTCAATTATCTAACATATAGTAGTACGTCATTAGTTTTTGATATAATGTTCAATGATTCATTAGTTGCGTATAACATTCCATGATCTTAAAGCTCTCTGTTTTACTCAGTCCCCCTTCAAGAATTCCTGATGGTCCTTTTAAACTTAAAAAGCAAACAAAAGTGATATTTTCATATCCTTTAGGGCTATTTTGGGTTTTTAAAGTGATAAGAGTGTATGAGTGAGTGAGAAAGAGTAAAAGGTAAAAGTAAAAGCAAAAGGCTTACAGCATTGTAACTAAAATTCTCACACCTTTGATAAGAAAGGAGTATGTGTTCTGCTACTATTTGTTGTCCTCAGAACAGTAAGTATAGAACTACTAATACTAACATTACTACTACTACTACTACTACTACTACTACTACTACCATCAATAAAAGAAAATACAGAAATTTTTTACTGTGTGCCAGGCATTGTTCTATGGGTTGTATATACAGTAACTGCATTCTCACAACTGCCCCGTGAGGTCCTTGTCCCTATTTTATACCCAGGTAAGTTAGAACTCAGAAAAGTTAAGTGAAGGAGTCAGAATTCTAACCCAGGAAGTGGCCTTAACTATTAGATATGCTGCTTCTGATGTATGGCTTCAAAATAAAACCAAACTAAACACACAATCTGTTCACCCACAGAGGTACTCTTCACCGAGAAGAAGGCAGTGGAGAGCATAGTGAATTGTACAGACTGTGGCCACACCCGGGCTTGCATTCCAGATCTGGCAACAACAAGGACACGTGGCTTTTCCTTGGGCAAGTCATATACTCTCTAAGTTTTAGTTTCCTTATCTGTAAAATAGGCCAGATAATGCCTATCTCAAAGGGTTATCTGGGGAACTAAATAACATAATATTTGAAAAGCACTTGGCACAGAACTCAAAAGAATGGTATTCATTACAATTCCTGTTAATTACTGTTGCCTTAGAAACCAAGAGGACCTCTGTGTTTTACCCTGTGTAAGATAATACAGGTCATCTCATTTTTTAGGGGAAACCCCACAACTAGGGTGCAGAGAATGTGTGGGAGAATGATGATGGAGGGGAGGTATGCATAAGAGGTATTAAGAGCCCACCATAAGTGGACAGGGAGATGTTTGTGTCCCAGACCCTGAGTAAGTGGAGAGGAGTATGGTGGGAGGCAGAAGGAGGCAGAAAAGGAGTCTGGGATGACTTCTGATGCTCAGCTTGGGAGGACTGAAGTAGAGGTTGGGAAATGGAGCCACTCAGGGTGGCATCTCAATGGGCTCCAGTCTATGAGTGAAAGCTCTGTACGCTGTCTCAACTTTGGCTATCCAAATCTAGGAAGACAATAAGTTCAGATGAGGAGGGAGCCTTGTGGGAATGGACAGTGAGGGGGAATCAGAACAAAACAGAGACAGTTGGGCCCGCAGATGCAGAGGTATGGATTCAGCTCCACCATGCAGGGGATGGCAGGGGAGATCTATTTGTTTTATAGCTAGCATGTGATAAGGGGAATGCTTTCTTCCATTTTGGCACGAGGTTCTGGAATGTCCAGTTACAATCCTGGTATGCTACCAAGAGATTTCATATCTTGAACCTTCTACTATCATATCACCAGTAAGGCAGCTCTGAGATAGTCTGGTAGAAAGGAAAAGCCAGTACCTGTTTGATGACAATGAAAATCCTTGGATTTATATACTATGACATGATATGAGGGGCATTGTTTAGCTCTTGGCATAGCTATGAATACCTAGGGCAGAACACCAAAGGAAAAAGTCTACTTTGAAATCTCTCTCAGAACAAATCTGAGAGAATTTGCTGGTTAATGCAAATACATGTCCAAACAAGTACTGGTTTACTTAGGGAGTATGCAGAGCTGGCAAGCCTCACTTGGCATGAAGAGCATGAGTAATGATTCATTTTAATGAGGGATCTTGGGGGTCTATAATGAAGGCTATGTGGTATTTCCATGTGTCTCTTTGGAATGTGGACTGAGTATACCCACAGTGGAAGAAAAGCCATTGCAAAATACATAGTTCGCAAAACCTCTGGGGCTCTATAAGATTTAGATAATTTAATGGCATATAAATGAATTCACAGAAATACACCCAGAGATCTCAGAGTAAAAAGCTTTCCTTCCCACAGGTAAGCAAATATGAGCACAAAGTAATGAGACTATATTTTTGGGGGGAAAGGGGGATTTAATTTTTAATGATTTTTGATTTTAAGATGAATGCATCCCTGGAATAATTCATAGCCTCCCTACATGACTCTTCTGAAAGACAAGAGTCATTTGAATATCAAGTTCATATGTATAAAGTACATATATTCATTTTTGAGACATAATTTCAGTCACACTTCACCTGTGAGCCCTGATCATTTGGAGCTTTTCTATTAGAGAAAATCAATACTTAACATTTTAGGTGGAAACAAAGAAATCTTGAAAGTGATGAGGAAAACAAACATTCCCCAGTCTTTACGATGGTCTTTGACTAGTCGATGAAACGGCACATAGAATGAGCATTACTGCATGTTTGTTCTGGGGTCTTTCATCTGGGTGTCCCCTTAGATCCAACTATAGGGTATGACTTCCTAGAAACAAATTTCCTTTCTGGTCAGATCTGGGGCATTATGTGATCATTCATTGCAAAGTATGTGAAGTACTGTACTGACCTTTATCTTGTATTTCTGGGCTGGCTAGAGCAAAACGCTCCACAGAGCCTGGGCCTCCCAAAGAGCTCCGGGATTTTGGAGGGATTACGTACAGTTCTGGGGTGTTTGGAAGAATGTGATTCAGTCCTTCAGGCTTAAAGGAGGGGATGGTGACCCAGAACTCAGGACAAGAGAGTCCCAAGAGGCAGAAATGTTGGTGGGAGCAAACACTTCTGTGTGTACTGATATATCAAAGAGGACTTGGAATTCTAAAGAGAAGTAAGAAATTGTCTTAAAAGAAATAATTTTGAAATATTAAAACATGGTAAGAACTGAAACTGTTGTGAAGTAAACTCAACAGGCAACTGTGTTGTTATCAGATAAATGTAGCACCACCCACTTGGGACTTACTCGTGCCCAACAGACCAAGCGGAGATTTCTTGTTATTTATTTATCCCAATTAAAAAAAACAACACAACCCTTAAATGCCTGCTATGCATAATCGCTAATTGTAAGACAGGTTGTAAACTGACTCAGGAGAACGTCCATTTTCATTTGTTTCCTATGAAATTTAAGGTCACTCCTCTAAAGAGGCCATTTCTTCTGTCCTCATTTGCATTTGCTCACCAACAACAGCAACAACAAAAAAATCCCAAGCAAAAAGCCCTTAAGCAATAAAACTGCTGTCCAAGAAAAACATTTAGTTTGAAAAAGAGTTGAAAAATGTAGCCTTGGAAGAACCATTGCTTACATGGGATTGTTCAACAAATTCCTGTTGTGTGAGGTTTGGCATATACTTTCTAAAAATATAAGCATCTGGGGAAATGAGACAAAGCCCAGGTCCTGGACCAAATGAGGCACGCAGTGTGAATCTGTTAGTGATTATATCCATAATGAAATATGTGTCCAAATTTAGCAGTGCAAAATCAAATACAATACGAAAGCCCAGCAGGCACTGTCCTTACCATAATATATAGCCAACAGAGAAGGTACATATGGCGGCGAGTCCACTGCTCCTGCTGGGATACGCATGGTGTGATGTCCTCATCTCGATTAATATAAAGGGCAAAACTGTTGTGTGCTGAAAAAGAACAAAGAGCAGGTGACACAGATTCTTATCATTGCCCCTCAATACTTGTTTTGTCTCCAGTAGGAGAAGAAATAGTGCAAATTTCTAGCAAAAGCGCCACAGCAGGGAGCAGTTGTATATGGCTCCTCTAATAGGTAGGGTGGACAGGAAAACATGTGGTGCACTGATCGCTCTACTGGTGTTTTTCTTCTGTATCTGAATTTTTAAAATTTTATTTTATTTATGACTGTCTCAGCAAATTTCAATAATTTTGAAGGATGTATAAGAAAAAAATTGGAACATAAGAGAGGAATAAAAATAACCACTGTTAATATTTTGGTGGATGTCTTTTCCTCCTCCTTGTTTGTATTATTTATACATAGTTAGATCATACCGTGCACAGAATTTTGTTTTGAGACTGTAGCATGAGAATTTTGGGGGATGCAGAGGGAGAGAGAGAATCTTAAGCAGGGTTCACCCCCTGCATGTCAGCCCAACTGGAGGCTAGATCTCACAACCCTGAGATCATGACCTGAGCCGAAATCAAGAGTCAGATGCTTAACCAACCAAGCCACCCAGGTGCCCCGACATGAGAATTTTTGATATGCCGTTTTAGAAATTCTTCTAGAATATTAACCTTGTCCGTAGTTGCTTGAAACTCCATTTTATGGATATATTGGATACACGAAAATTTATTTGACCAATTCCTGTTCTTGGACATTAAGTAGTAAAAGATTTTTAATTTTTCATTTATGAAAAATGTCATGATGAATATCTTTTGTAGAATTATTTGTCTGAATGTCTGAAGGTTAGACGATTTTCTTATAGTTAAAGGCATAATGCCAAATTACGTGTGTACCAGCAGCAAGTTAGGAAATAATGCCAAATTAGCTTCCAGAAAGGATGTACTGGTTTGTACCACCAGCAGAGCATGGATTTAGATATAATGTTTGAAGACAGACTCCAAAGAAGCTTGATGGGAACTTCCCATTTGTTTTTTGTCTTTTGGACCCAGTGGCCACTCCGATGCTCATTTCAGTGGGCCAAGATGGGGATGAAATTTGGTAAGAAGAAAGGAAAGTCAGCTTGTCTTGGTGTTGAAATTTGATGGACAGATATAAGGGACAAAGATCTTCTTAGGTAAAACTGGGTTAGGATACAGATTTATCTTCCAACATTGAAGTTTCTCAAGAGTAAGAAGATGGCAGAACTGAGAACTGAACCATGAGTAAATTTGAATTCTATTTAGTACCTCCTTAATGGCCACAAAAGAATCTTTGCTCTGCTTTCACTGTATTGTTTGGATAGTCCAGGAAAATACAGGAAATTGAATGTTACAATTTTCAAACTGTAATAAGTATCATGGTACCAGGTGGCAGGTGGGCCTTGGCAGGAAAAGACATGGTAGTGATATCAAAGTGAAGATCTTTGAAGCACCATATTGTTTATATTTATAGAAAAAACAGAAATACAAGATTTTTAAAGAAATACTAAGATAGTAGAAATTCTTTGCTTTAAATGTTCTCCTCTAGATAACTGTGAAGACTACCAATATATTAGTAATTAGAGTATGGTATTCCTAGAATGTCAGGTGGGTGATTCCACAGTTGGGTAGCTTTATATTTCCTTATCCTTTGCTTCTCTATTATTGTTCTAAAACGGTATAATTAGCTCTGAAGGGAACCATGCAAAATGTACATGTGTGTTGATACAGAGACAGCATGCGTTTTAAAGATCTATTTTATCGTTTTATTCATTATAATCCAGTCACCTCAGATGACATTGGCCTGGAGTTTCACCAATGATTTGAGATGCCCACAGTAGTTTTGTAATGGTGCATTCATGTGTAAAATTCAAATGTATAGCTAACAATAAGTCCAAGTCTTGTCAAATCTCACACGGGGAAAAATAAAACAACATTTTTAATGGGAATTATTAACTCCATTTTACACTGAAGATAGTGCTGACTCTGGTGGCCTGTGTCAGTTATAGAACCATGATGACATATTATTTTTATTTGTGAATATTAAAAAGTGTTTAAATTCTACCTCTTCATCCATTGTTCCAGAAAATCATCCATTTTTCTATAAAATTATATAAGTTCAAATAACTAATCTGAATATTCTTAGTTATCTAGTTATCATTCTTTTACTCAGCCTACCTGCTGATTATCGGATGTCATACCTGGAAGGGTTAGGATGTATTTTGAGGATGCCAGACAGAAAATCTCTTTGAAAAATGAAGATCTTTCTAGATCACTTCATTAATGTCATCATCACCATGAAAAAGGAGCTACTTGTTCCATCAATGACATAATCAATGACAAAAGATCTTTTTTTTTTTTTAAAGATTTTATTTATTTATTTGAGAGAGAGAGAGAGAGAGAGAGAGAGAGAGAAACAGCATGAGAGGGGAGAAGGTCAGAGGGAGAAGCAGGCTCCCCGCTGAGCCGGGAGCCCGATGTGGGACTCGATCCTGGGACTCCGGGATCATGACCTGAGCCGAAGGCAGTCGCCCAACCAACTGAGCCACCCAGGCGCCCGACAAAAGATCTTTTTGTGTGCCAGTTGGCCCAGTGGCAAATCTCAGGGTAACAACATATCATTCAGAGTTTTCAGGCACTAAAGAATTTATATCTACCTCTCTAAAAATGTGTAAGGCAAATGATGTTTACTGTTAAACAGTACATATTGATAAAAGTAAAAGTAGTGTAAAATATTTATAGCAAATATAAACATTGCTCTGTAGGTAGCTAAGGTTTTATAAACTAATAAAATCGTAAAAATCTATAAATGGTCCTGCTGAATCTCTAAGTAACTTTTAGCAGCTCAATTGTAACCCAAAATCTGCAGCAGCAAGAGGGATCATTATTTCAGAACTACAGGTACAAGAAATCCAGTTCTAATCCACTCCCAGGCAACACTCTGCTTGAATGATTTAAGAACCAGGAAGGAAATATTCAAGTCCATTCAAGACCACCTGCTGCACAAGAATGGTAATCCTATGTTTTGTTCACTGTGGTATTTGTAGAAAAGAGCCTGGCACAAAAGAGGTCCTCAATAAATATTTGTGGAGATAAGTTAATCTTCAAAACAACATTTTTAATGGGAATTATTAACTTCATTTTGCAGATGAGGTAACAAAGACTCAGAAAAGGTCATTATCTTGCCCAAGATCATAGAGCTACTACATCTGGAGGTAGGGTTCAAGACCAGTTCTGTCTCCAAATGCTAGGCTCTGTTTTCTACATTAGAATTATATTTTTAAAAGATATAGTTAAGTAATCTTTGACTCAATAAACCCGTGGGAGTGGATGACTGAAAATCACTTACGCTGTCACTCAACTGACCAGAACTATTTTTTGCTTGAGCCTCAAAATAAACAAAGAGCTCTTCACTGTAAAAAATGTATTTTGCCAAATGTGTTCTTTCTTGCGGTGTATAACATTCTGAATGATAATAAACAATATATCAGCTAGCATAAAGTCGGGACTTTTCAGTGGTGCAGTGAGAAAGACGGCTGCAGGCAGCTCTTCCAGCTTTCGGCTCAGAAGAGATCAAGGTGTAACTTTCTTGGTCATCCTGCATCCGGTTCCTTTGGCAGCTGCCTTTGCCGTGTTGCCTAAACTCCACCCCAGCGAAATCAAAGTCGTAGTCCCGAAGTGCATGAGCTGGGAAGTTGGTGCCACATCTGCCCCAGCCCCCAAGACTGGACCCTGGGTCTGTCTCCCAAAAAGGTTGGTGATGACATGCAAGGCAACAGGTGACTGGAAGGGTCTGAACATGACAGTGAAACTGACCATTTGGAATAGACAGGCCCAGATTGAGTAGTACCTTCTGCCTCTGCCCTATCGTCAAAGGCCCCCAAGAACCAGTCAGAGACAGAGAGAAGCAAAAGACCGGCAAACACAGTGGAAGTCTCACTTTTGATGAAATTGTCCACATTGCCCGACAGATACAGTACCAATCTTTATAGTCAGAGAGCTCTCTGGAGCCGTTAAAAGAGAATCTGGGGACTTCCCAATTTGTGGGTTGCAATGTTGATGGCCGCCATCCTCATGACATCATAGATGATATCAACAGTGGTACAGTGGAATGCCCAGCTACTTAAGAACCACAAAGGAAAATACTTCAATGAAGGATCATTTGACAACTAAAAAAAAAAAAAAAAGCATACTCAGGAATGATCTGTTTCTATTTCTCAAACACAAATACCTTTTATTTTATTATTATTATTTTTTAAAAGATTTTATTTATTTATTTGAGAGAGAGTGCATGAGCAGGGGGGGAGGAGCAGAGGGAGAAACAGACTGCCTGTTGAGCAGGGAGCCTGATGTGGGGCTCGATCTCAGGATCCTGAAATCATGACTTGAGCCAAAGGCAGATGCTTAACGGACTGAGCCACCCAGGTGTCCCTGCAAATACCTTTTAAGGTTTTCTCAGGTGTAGATACACTTTGAATGAGCGAAGAAAGAGATAAAGTTTGGTTGCCAGAGGGGGCTCTTAAGAATTGCATTGGACTGTTTTCTGCAGTGCATTGTCAATAGAACAATTGCCCGCAGCTGAGTTCCTGAGGTTCTACTATTTGTTTTTAAGTCCTAAGTAAGATGAAAGGTTGATAGCCCAAGGAATAAACTTTTGATTTAATCTATAAACTCTGCCCTAGAAAGCACTGGTCTAAAATATAAGAAGTTATCTTATCCCAAGCTCCAATTTCCAGTGCTGCTAATGTTAAGGAGACTGTGTTAAAAAAAAAAATCGCATCCAAAAAGGGAAGCGCAAATCTGTCTTGGGTTTTGGCATCCTTTGTGGGTTTTCTTAATGGGGTTCAGGTGGGTTTCCTTTATGGAGCAATGATTATCACCAGGGACTGAGCAGCATCCCAAGGCAAAGGTCAGCCCGCAGAGAGGACCCACCACGTGTTGTCACCTCTGCACAGAGACGCTCTCAGCCTAGAGCAGAGGGCTAGATTCAAGGAGGGACCCGTGACTTAATTATGATGTGAAGGAGATG